TATCTATAGTATTTTCCCTTAATTTCGCCGAACTAGGTATATCTATTAATATTATTAAAGATAATAATAAAAATAATAAATATGATTTTGCTAATTTTTCTAACTTTTCTGAATTCTCTTTTCTTTCTTTATTTAGTATCTATTTCTTTCTTTAGAAGCTTCTCTAGTTTATTTATATAATTTCTTATTTCCGATTTCTTTTTAATTCTTATTTCTGATTCTAGTTTACTATTTTACTTGAATTTAAGAGTATTTCCTCTTTTAAGTATCCTTTTCGGATTTAGAAATAAGCTTTATTATTAAGATTAAAGCTACTTTAATTCCGGCTTTTACTATAACTAAAAATAATATATAAATTAATAATATAACTTTATTTCCGAGTATTAAAGTCTAATTCTAATTAAGGTCTGACTTATATTATTTTAGTATAATATTTCTTATTCTATTTTCTCTGCCTCTTTTCCTTTTATAATTAGCCTCTATTTCTATTACTCTTATATATTATACTAGTAACTATATCTTGCAGCTAACTCGTATCCAAGTTACTAGGTATATCGGAAATTAATATAAGATACTAAGATTAATACTCGTATATCTTTAATATTTTGGCCTTAGGCTTAAGGCATTATAATAGCCCTTTTTTCCCCTAACTTACTAAGCTAATAATCCGCCTTATAAATACCTCTCAGAACTTTATAAGAGTATTACCTTGATTATAAAGTTTCTATTCTCCTTATATTACTTATTATAAAATATATAAGAAAGAAACTATAATAAGACAAAAACCTATATAAAGTATACTAGAGTACAAAACGTAACTTAATAGTAAAATAATAAATCAAAAGCGTAAATAGTAAAGTATAAATAGTATATAGTATATAAAAGCTCAATTAATTAAATACTTATAAAGGATTATTCTCTAAGTCTATAGAAAAACCAGCTTTCTTATGTGATTTCCGCAAGTCACATATAAAAGGCCGCAGCCTTTGCCATGTGACCTAAACCTTAAAACCGCCAAAACAATGCGATTTTCGACGAGTACGGCCTGCCGTACCACAATATGTAAGTCAACCCCTATACCCGCTGCGGGGCTGCCCCTGGCCCGTAATACTCCTTATAGTCTGTAGAATGTCTTCTCTCCTATCTGCTCCTGCTCTACTAGCAGCACCAGCATTAGCCCCAGTCCCAGCACCAGCCCTAGCTAACCGAAGTCCCTTACCAAAACACGTCCCGTACTAAAACACGTTTTCGCGAATTTTTATTTCTTTAATAACTAAATAACTACAAATCCGTTTATTATAAAATTTAAAATTTAAAATTTAATTATATAGAATAATAACTTAGTATAATAATAATATTAGATTTATAATAATTACAATAACTATTAAATTTATATTTATATATATAAAAAGAATTAACTTTTAATATAATCTTTTAATTATTATATAAATTATTATAAAGCTATATATTTTATATTTAAAATACTTATATTATTTATAATATATAAAAGATTTTTTATAAAAAGTATAATTTCTTAATAAAATTTAAGTAAAGGTTTAAAGAAAATTAAATTATTATTAATTTTTAAATATCTTATAAAATATAATTCAATAAAAAGGTAATATTTAATTCTTCTAATTTATTTCTAAATAATATAAATAGTAAAGCTATTTTTATTTTTATTTTAATTAAAAGTATTATATTTATAAAGTTCTATAATTCTAAATTTATCTCAATTGAGAATAATATTATATTATATATTATTTATATTTATTAATTAAAAAATATATTTTAAAGCTCTTTATATAAATAAATATAAATATAAATTGTTTTTATGTTTTATATTAAAATTATAAATTATTTCCAAATTATTAAAGATTTAATAAAGATAATATTATAATATTATTAGTTATATATTAGTAAAGTATATAAAAACAAAATTAAAGATTTCTTTTATTTTTATATTATATAAATCTTTTAAAAATTATTATAAAAAAATTAATTATAATTAAATAATAATATTAATTAATAAAAACATTTATAATTATGAATTTTTAGATTTAAAATCTTTATTTATATATTGGATATAATACATAACTTTATATATTATTTTTATAAATTAAAATTAAAATTTTATTAAAAATTAAAAATTAAATTGTTTTAAAAAATTTCAAAATTTCAAAATTTAAATCTTCAGTTTTATAATTCACTCTTTGAAAAACAGGTTATATAAAATTTTAATATACATATTATAAATACCATAATAAAGTAACAATTTTATAATTTTTGTGCTTTATAATATTATATAATATAAAAGTTATATTAATATTAATATATTTTAATTAAAATTATTAAAAATAGAATTTTATAAAATATATTTATTATCTATATAATTTAATACTATTAATAGGCTTTATATATGTATTAAAAATAAAAGGATATTATAAAGTGGTTGCTTTTTAATTAGTAAAAGTGTTTTTCTTAAGCGCGTGTTTTGGTGCGGGGAATCGGTTACAGCTCCAGCTCCAGCTCCAGCTCCAGCACCACTATTACCACCACCAGCAGCAGCAGCAGCAGCAATAGCAGCACCAGTAGCAACAGCACCAGCAGCAATCTGCTTCCAGGCCTTGGAAAAAGTTGTAGCCGAGAGGACAAGAGTCTTGGGCCCTAATGATTTTCTCACTATTACTATAAAAAGAATACTCGTTTCTAAGCATTTGGAATCCCAAATGCCCATAATAGAAGCTATTAAAGTATTCGAAGCCCTTCTCTGCTATCTAAAGTCAATAATTAAGGAGATCTTTAATATTACTATTAATATCGCGAATTCTCACTTCTTTAACTCTTCTCTGCTATTAATAAAAAAGAAGTAATTAATTATTTTCATATATATTAAAGATTAGCTTTTAAAGTTACTTGCCTATTATAATATTATTAAAACTCTTATTAAATCTTTTTAGACCTTTAAGATAAAGCTAAATATCTTATAAAACATGAAATTCTTTTAAAACAAGATATAATTATTTAATTAAAAGAAGCTTTTAAAAAAGCCTCTAATTTTAGCTAAATAAAAGAATTACTAAATAAGCCAAACTAAGCTTTCTAGTATTTATATTTATATAATATATTTTTTAGAGATTTCTAATACTTTAAATAAAGGAAATAGCTAATAAAGAAATATATATATAGTTTATTTACTTTAATTAAAAGCTCTATAATCATTATTTTCTAATATTTTATATTAAACTAAGAAAATTAAAAAAATTAAATAAATAAATAAATAAATATTTCCAGATATTTCTAGTAATATACTTAGTTTTAAATAAGCCTAGCTTTAGCCTTAAATAGCTTTATAAGCTAAAAGCTAAGAAAATTATATTATATATATTATTAGGATTTAAAATTCTTTAGTAATTTAATTTCTTTTATAGCTTTTTATATTCTTATAATTAGTATATTAAATAATTAATTAGATTAAATATATTAATTAGATTAAATATATTAATTAGATTAAATATATTAATTAGATCAAATTAATTAATTTTAATTAAATTAATTAATACTTAATTAATTATATAAAAAAAAGTTTCTTAACTTTTTTAAATTTTCTCTTTACTTTTACTAATTAATAATACTATAATAAAAAAAGCTAAATTAAGCTAATAATTAACTAAATCCTTTTTTCTATAATAATAAACTAAGAAATCTTTTTAGAAACTTAATTATTTTTCTTTTTATTTTATTTTTTTATTTATTCTAATTTGTTTTTTTAAAATATATTCCAGCTTTTTAAATATAATACTTTTCAAAAATACTTTTATTAAATATAATATATAATTTAGATATTAGTAAAATTATTAAGAAAAATAAGCTTATTATATAAAGGAACTTTTAATACTAAAAAGCTCTAAATATTTCTTTTAATTAGAATTTCTTTATTAAATCTAAAGTATCTATTATTAATAAAGATTAATTTTTAATTTTTTTATTTATAATTAATATAATTTATAAGAAATTAGAGCAAGAAATATTAAAAAACTTAAGGTTTTAAATACTTTACTTAATTTAATAAATAGCTATCTAGATAGCTATAGCTCTAATATAATAAGTATACTTCTAATATAATTAAACTAAATCTTATTTTGGCTTTATTTTAGCTTTTAGCCTTCTAATATTATATATATTATTATATATTTAATATTATAAATTTAGTATTTAGGACTTAGAAAGCAAGATAAAAGATCTTTTATAAAGATAATTTAAAGCTAAAGAAAAGAAAACTAGAATATATATATTCTATAGTATACTAGTTTATAAAAAGTTTAGCTTTCTAAATATCTCTAGTATATTTCAAGTATATTTCCCTAATAAAATAACCGTATTATATATATCTAGAAAGTAATAGAATATAAATAATTATTAGGTAATTATATTAGCTAATAAGATTAAAAGCTGAATTATAATATTTAATTAAATTAATTAATAATTAATTAATAGCAAAATTCTTTAATTAAATGAGATAAATACTTATTAATCTAATTTAATCTAATTATTTAATATATTACTTAGAATAAGAGCTGCTTTTATATAGCTTTTAATTATTTATTTATAAAATATAAATTAAGTTTTTTAATATAAAAACTAGTAATTATAAGCTCTAAAATAATGTAATTAATAAAATATTATAAATGCTTTTTATTTTTATTTCTTATATAAGTATAAGTAGTCTTTAAATCTTCTAATAAAAGAAGTAAAAATTTCAAGTAAAAAATATTACTTATTTTATTAAATTAAGGCCTTAAAAATTCTTTTATATTACTCAAATATATAAATAAGCTCTTTAAATATATTAGTATTAATTATTAAAGCAAATTATTATACTTTTTAAGTAAATAAAAGCTTAGTAATTATTATTTAAAAAAAGTTATTAATTACTAGAAATTCTTTAACTTTCGTAATTTAATACATTTAAGCTTATATAAGAGCTTGAAACTAATTATAGCTCCTGCAGGCTCCGTCACAATGGCCTGGGCGGTAGTCCCATCTAGGGAGGTGTTGGCCAAGCCAGCTCCTACAAGCTCCGTCACAGCGGCAGTCCCGTCGGAGGAGGTATTAGTATTAGTCAAATCAGCTCATGCATTCAAGGTCACAGGATCCTCGGCGGAAGTTCTGCCTCCCTGGGCCACAGTCCCGTCGGATGGAGCATTGTTGGTTAAGTGAGCTCCCACATTATCGATCGCAGGATCCTGGGTCCTGCCTCCTCCGAGTTCTTCATACACGACGGCATGTGCGGCATTCTCGCCGGAGGAAGCATTGCTAGTCAAGTGGGCTCCCATATCGTCAATCACAGGATTCTGGGCAACAGTGCTGCCTCCTGCATACTCAGTCACAGTAAACTGGGCGGCGGCAATTCCGTTAGAGGCGTTGCTGTGAGCTCCCACATCGAGGACATCCTGGGTATCGAGATCAACAAAAGCTATGTCCGCACCAGTGAAACCCGGATTTGTCATTTTGCTCCGAACATTCTTGCCTCGAGTAGAGTTGAGAGTTGCAGTTCGAAGTTTGGATGTCGTTTTGTGCCGAGCATTTTGTGCTCGAGCGGAGTTGCGTGTTGCTACAGACATATTTCGATTACAGAGGGTTCTTTAAAGTAGCCGTTGAGAGTGAGTATTGAGAGGAGGGGAAATATGTAAAGAATAGAAGTGGGTGGGTAGCCTTTCTCCCTTTTATCTTCGATTTGACATGGCATGAAACCTGTCGGCGTTTCCCTCGGTCTACGAATGCAGCAATCAAGGATCAAAACAGGAATCGCCCGCAACGAAGGCGCAATATGTTGGTAATGAACATGCAAACACGAACATCCAATAATATCTACCAGTCACAGGGGCATGTAATGCATGGACGACGTCGCTACGGTTTAATTTAAGAACGCTCGGATCAAAACTCGGCATTTTCGCGAATTGCCACCCCAACATTAAATTAGTCGCATTTTATATACGAAATCACGATAAATTAATGATCGCATGGTACTAAAGATAATTAATTGGTTACATACGAGATTTTTAGTACTCAGATCGCCCCCCCTTATTCGTCACTAAACCTCACGTGCTTGCCCCTATATATAGACTTTTGTTGAACTAGCTAAAGCAATATAGCTAGGGTCACGTGCTTGCAATGTAAACCAAGTAAACGGTACTGAATTGACTGCTGTTCTACAGTGGTAAGTAGCCCGTATATATAGCCCTGAACCCCCTAAGTCACATGTACTAAATCCCTATGCCAGCTGAACCGATTTACAGCTATACAGGGTATTCCAGCCGTACAGGGTATTCCAGCTATACAGGGTATTCCAGCTGGACAGGGTATTAAGCTAGTGCACAGCCCCATGGCGTTCGGTTCCAGGGCTTACTAAGCCTATTAGGGGCCTCAGGCCCCTAATTTCAACAACTTTTTTCTAGCTGGCAGGACCCTCCGGGCTCCATTATTATCTTTACTACCCTCTCTACCCCCTAGAGCATTAGCTGATCTATTAGGAATAAAAACACTATCCCCAGTAGCCTCTAAATCAATTACTCTATTATCAAAGGTCTCCTTTTCCTCTAATCTCTTTCTTTTTCTAGTAGATGAAGCTATACCTATAGCTTCAAATTCGGGCTCTGATTCCCAATTAGCCGCTAATTAGGCGTTTACTTGGGATATAGTAATTCCACCTGGAAAGATCCTCTCCTGGCTAGCTTGAGCAGGAGCAGGAGCGGGAATTAGAGTTTCTAGCTCCGGGATTAGGGATATTAATATTATAGGATAGCTATTTTAACTATTTTCCTGTTCTAGTAAAGGCGATTTTAGCTCGTGCTTCTCGTTAATATTAAAGCATATATATATATGCCTTGAATTAGTCTTTTTCTATTAAGTAAATTAACTAATCAGAAACTTAAGTGCCTTCTATTTAAAGGAAAATGGGCTTAGTACCTCTATCTCCTTTGTCTTTTTATTAACCTAATATTAATTAACTCGTTTTAATATATTAAGTTTATAATTAAGGTTTACTTTAATAGCTAGAAAAGGAAAATTAAAGTTCTATTTAACCTCTTTTTATTCTAGAAGCTTATTTACTAAAAGAATAAAGCTATTAATATAAATATATATCTTTTATAAGATATATAGTAAAATCTATAAGTAAGAGCTCGTTTCTATTAATTATATTAGCTATAATAATTATATATAGTAAAATAACTTATTATTTATATATTTCCTAAATATTATATAAAATAATAATATTTATAAGGCTCTATTTATTAAGATTAATATATGTTTTATAATATATATTATATTTTATTTATATTTCCTTTATATTACTTAATACCTTATAAGTATAAAAGATATATAAAGCTAATATCTTATAATATAGTTTAATTAAAGGAAGTAATAGTAAAACAGGCTTCTCTTTTAGAACATTAATTATATTTGCTTATATAATATAGGAAAGAAACTATAATAAGATAAAAACCTATATAAAGTATATTAGAATATAAAACGAGACTTAATAATAAAATAATAAGATTAAAGATATAAATAGTAAAATATAAATAGTATATAGTATATAAAAGCTTAATTAATTAAATATAGAGAAGGAATTATTATCTAAAACTATAGAAAAGCTAGCTTTTTTATTTAATTCCTGCCAGTTATATATAAAAGGCCCTAGCCTTTATTATATAATTAAAATATTAAAACTATTAAAACAAAGCAATTTTAATAAAATACGGCTTATTATATTATAATAATTTAATTATAAGTTCTATTAGATCCTAAATTAACTATATAATATATTAGCCTAATATTTATATAGAATTAAAATAAGGTTTATATTTTTAGATATAGCTTCTATATATATTTTTAAATATACTAAAGTATAGTTTTTTTATTAAATACTAAGCCTTTTCTATTTAATTCCAGATTAGAATAAATTCTTCTAAAAAGTATCTAGAATTTTATTTTTATTAGTTCTATTCGAATTTAGGAGTTTTATAGTTTTATCTTAACTATTTTTATTAAATCGGATAGAATTTAGAGATTTACTTTTTAAGTGATTTTCTTATCCAGAATTCTTATAGTTATATTTTAGATATCGAGAAATTAAAGAATATAATTTATTATTTATAAAATAGTTATTATATTAAGGATATTTGGGTTTAAATAAACGTATTATATAAATTTTAGATTAAATAATAAGAAGTTAAAAATATAATAAAATTAAAAATAATAGATATTAAAGTAAATAAATATAAAATATAAATTTTTAGTAAAAATTAAAATAAATTTAGAATTAAAAAGTAATAATTACTACTTATATATAGTAATTATTAAATTAAATTTAGAGCCTATATATTTAATATATATTTCTTTTAGTATTTAAGTACTATTAATAAATTCTTAATTATTAAAATACTTATTAGTATTTATATATTATAAAATAATAAATACTAGTATTTTTAAATTACTAGAGCTTTTTTTATAAATATATATCTAAAATATTTAATTCTAAGAAATAATATAATATAGTTTATAATTAAGAATAAATAAGAAATAGCTATTATATTAGATTTCAAAATAGTATTTTATATATATAAAAATTAGAATTCAAAATTAAGAATATTAAAGATTTAGAATAGCTAGTTATATATAATAGGCTATATTAAACGAGTTTAGGGCCGCTTTGCTAAAATTATTAATTGGCGGCCCTATATAAGCTTCGGGGCCAATTAATAATTTTGCCCTAAACTCGTCCCGAATAGATTTAGAATATAATAAAGGCTTTTAGCTAAGTATATAAATCAGGTACGGACTTTTTATAGACTCTTTATAGATAATATAAGAAGGAAAATAGCCCGTAAATATATAAAGTTACTCGTAAATAAATTAAAAGCTAAATAAGACCTTATAATATTTCTGGGTATATTATATTACTTATATAGTTTATATTAGAGAGTAAAAAATATAAAGCCTTACCTATAAGATTACCCGTAAGGCTGCTATATAGAACTAGTTATAAGAAAAGACTAGAGACCGTAAATTTACTCCTATTACCTCAAATAACTAGTCCTATAACTTATTAATAGTTATTATAAAGAATAAAGCAAGAAACTATTTATAGGAAAGCATAAAAGATAGTTACTAATCCGTTAACTAGAGCTTAATCCGTAGAATTGTCTGTAATTAGCTATTAAAGTTACTACCTAGTAGCTATATACGAATCGAGAACCTCCCAAAGCTATAAATCGATATCTATAACCCGTTATAAAGCCCTTTCTATAAATAGAGATTCTATAAGAGTATTATAGGTATACTAATCTTGAGTTATAGCTTAGAGAGAGGCAGATCTGGTAAATAGATATTCTATAAGATCTCTAGAGATAATTCTGCGATTTCAGGATCTGCCTTATTTATATTAGCCAAATCTACTATAAAATATATCTGTTCCTGGCTAGGGAGTATATCCAGGATTATTTGGTTAAGCTTATAGATCGTATTATTCAGGGTTAATAGGATTGCCTGTCTACTAAAGACCCGGTAATTATATAGGGCCTATAAGAGTTGCTCTTATAGGTAGATATAATTAATTAGGTCCGTAACTAACTAGATATATAGAATAAAAGGCGGGAGTATAATCTGCCTATTTAAAAATAGGTTATACGGAAGACTACTAATCTAGTCTATAAAATCCTGCTCGGACGGGTTATTATAGACCTGTATATTAATCCATAATAATAACTAATAAAGCCGTAGCTAGATCTATATCTACTATAAACAGGCCCGTACTATATTGGCCTGTAAATTATATAAGACTACTAGTAAGATCTGGGTAAAATTCCTTCCGAGAATTATAGGTACTTCTCTAAAAAGAATATTATCTATAACTAATTATAAATTAACTATTAGCCGGTATACTATCTCAAAGCAGTATTTGTATTATATAGGTACCTTATCTCAGATAATTAGGTCTGTAGAATACAAGAGAGCTCCGAGCCGGCTTATCTTAGTAATTATACTTACGGATAACTTATTAAGTTCGAGCGGGATCCGGAACTAGAAGTAAGATATGTATTTATCCGAAAGAAGAAAAGCCGTAATACCCGTTAATACTATATATAGAACTATCTTACCTTAGCTATAGTAATAGTAGTAAAGGGTCTTATAAAGAAATGTCTTACCGGTCCCGCTAAGGCCTTATAAATAAAAATAAGTAATCTGTAAATTATTTGTAATTATTACTATAATTATCTAAAAGTAAGAGTACTAGTCTATATTTAGCTAGGCTTATATTACGGTTGCTAGTAATATTTTATAGATATAATTAATCTATAGATTAGCTATATAGTAGCTTATAGTCTAATTAAAGGTATTCTCAGGCAGGGCAATATTTATAAGTATTTACTAGAGATTTGTAAGGCCGAGACTAAGTAAAAAGAGGCTGTAATTATAGTAAGAATTAACCAAGAATAGCAGGAAATTAATTAACGGGTTATAGGCTAGCTTATAGACCAAGTTATTATAGAAATACTTCTTATACTAGTCCCAGATTACTTATATATTTGTAATTAGCTACTAGCGGATACTTGTAAGAAAGAGTATCTATAAACCATAGCCGGTTATTAATAAAAATAGCCTTATTAA